TAGCCGGTATCCCTGAACACACTCTTCCCTTGTCTTTTATTCTCACACCCATCAAACGGCGTTTTTTTTTTAAATAATCGATTCCATACCAAGAGTATCGAAGCTGCTGCTGTGTGACAAGGACGTGCTGATGACGTAATGATGATGTGCTTTCTCGTGAAAAAGACTATAATTTACTATTTACTCCCCTTCCCTGTTGTACTAGTATCTCATCCCCACCACTGACCCTAGCCTAGTGTGTTCAATAGCACTGACGTGATCACTGATGCACTGACGTGATCACTGCTGTACTTACGTGATCACTGATGTACTGACGTGATCACTGATGTACTGACGTGACCACTGCTGTACTGACGTGATCACTGATGTACTGACGTGACCTCTGATGTACTGACGTGATCACTGATGTACTGGCGTGATCTCTGGTGCACCGACGTGAACATAGCTGTACTGACGTGATCGTTGCTGAACCTCTGTGTTGGAGCGGACATTTGTCATTATCGACTTACTCAAGCTTAGCTGTGTGCTCCAGTAGTCACCTAAATGTGGGGGGGGGGGGGTGTGGGTCAGTAGTCACCTAAATGTGGGGGGAGTGTGGGTCAGTAGTCACCTAAATGTGGGGGAGTGTGCTTCAGTAGTCACCTAACTGTGGGGGGGGGGGGTAATCAAAAACCAATGGGAGCGTCTGTTTGATTGTTTGATTGATTAGAGTTGCTAATCTTACCATCCGTGTTGGTACATACTTCTGCTGGCCTATTTTTTTGTAGTTTTTGTGTACACGAAATGTTAAGTAACACTACATACATTAGAAGCATCGTCGTGTCATGTACACAGCAAGTACACAACACGTACACATATTAGAATCATCATCATTTCAGTACACATATTACAAGCATTACCCTGTCTATACACATGTACACATATTACACGCATTATCCTGTCAGTACACTATATGTACACATATTACAAGCATTATCGTATCAGTGCACAATACGTACACATTAGAAGCATCATCGTGTCAGTACATATATTACACGCATTATCATGTCAGTAAACAATATGTTCGCATATTAGGAAATCGTGTCAGTACACAGCACGTACACATAAACATTTCATATTATGTACACGTCAGCACAATGTGAACGTAGTGGCTAAGATATCTCGACTTGCATGCATGCAGTGTGTGGGAAACAAACGGTGTAACCCGGTTTTTATATCAACCAAAACATCGGCGTTTTTTTACAGCATAAATTTCGTTTCGTGTGATGCACTTGTATTTTTTAAAGTTTATGTAAACAAAACTGTACTCGCGTGCTTCTCTCTTGAAGACAGGATGTAGGTGGCTTAAGGTTTTTTTCATGTCATATTGTGGGCTAGGCTTAGAGTTAAAGGCAAGGCAAACACTATCGTTTGAAATCTGAGAGACAAAAATTGTGTTAACGAATATGGTTTCATTAAACAGCTAGACTTAGCTTGCTTGTGTTGTCATGCTAAAAAAAACTAGCAAAACAGCAAACATACACCCACTCAACAAAGATCAACCAAAATGATAAAAGTGAGATGGGCACAGATGTAGGGTTGCTTTGGTTACCACTTTCAGCACCACATACAGCCATTTTTTAAATGTTGGAGTTTCCGGTGCATCAGAAAGCCATCAACTGTCTTGCCTCTCCATCAGAAAGCCATCAACTGTCTTGCCTCTCCATCAGAAAGCCATCAACTGTCTTGCCTCTCCATCAGAAAGCCATCAACTGTCTTGCCTCTCCATCAGAAAGCCATCAACTGTCTTGCCTCTCCATCAGAAAGCCATCAACTGTCTTGCCTCTCCATCAGAAAGCCATCAACTGTCTCGCCTCTCCATCAGAAAGCCATCAACTGTCTTGCCTCTCCATCAGAAAGCCATCAACTGTCTCACCTCTCCATCAGAAAGACATCAACTGTCTTGCCTCTCCATCAGAAAGCCATCAACTGTCTCACCTCTCCATCAGAAAGCCATCAACTGTCTTGCCTCTCCATCAGAAAGCCATCAACTGTCTCACCTCTCCATCAGAAAGCCATCAACTGTCTTGCCTCTCCATCAGAAAGCCATCAACTGTCTCACCTCTCCATCAGAAAGCCATCAACTGTCTCACCTCTCCATCAGAAAGCCATCAACTGTCTTGCCTCTCCATCAGAAAGCCATAAAGTGTCTCACCTCTCCATCAGAAAGCCATCAACTGTCTCACCTCTCCATCAGAAAGCCATCAACTGTCTTGCCTCTCCATCAGAAAGCCATCAAGTGTCTCACCTCTCCATCAGAAAGCCATCAACTGTCTCGCCTCTCCATCAGAAAGCCATCAAGTGTCTCACCTCTCCATCAGAAAGCCATCAACTGTCTTGCCTCTCCATCAGAAAGCCATCAACTGTCTCACCTCTCCATCAGAAAGCCATCAACTGTCTTGCCTCTCCATCAGAAAGCCATCAACTGTCTTGCCTCTCCATCAGAAAGCCATCAACTGTCTTGCCTCTCCATCAGAAAGCCATCAACTGTCTCACCTCTCCATCAGAAAGCCATCAACTGTCTTGCCTCTCCATCAGAAAGCCATCAACTGTCTTGCCTCTCCATCAGAAAGCCATCAACTGTCTCGCCTCTCCATCAGAACGCGATCAACTGTCTTGCCTCTCCATCAGAAAGCCATCAACTGTCTTGCCTCTCCATCAGAAAGCCATCAACTGTCTCACCTCTCCATCAGAACGCCATCAACTGTCTTGCCTCTCCATCAGAAAGCTATCAACTGTCTTGCCTCTATCAGAAAGTCACCCCATCTTCCCCTCATCTCCCCGACTCTCTAGGCTGTGACTGTGATAGAGTCGGACCTCCTGAAGCAACAGGTTCTCACGCTCTACTCCCGCCCCTACCCTTCTCTGCTATTCTATTAGTTTCTCTAGTGCCTACTCTCATTTTTAGCGCAATTTCCATTCTGGAGAATTGCGTTTATTAACTCGTGGAGGGATGGATGGATGGATGGATGGATGTGTGTCCGCAGCTTTAAGTCGTATCTCCTCCTCAACGAAGCAATATCGATGACTAGTTCCAAAGCAAAAATGTTAAGCAAGTTCCAAGGATGATTGTGGGCCAAAAAAATTCCCGGAATTCCTATCTGGATTTCCCGGAAAAGCCAAAAAACCTCGAACAAATGCAGTTTTTGCTCCATATCTCGGCAACCAGACCACTTAGCGACTTGAAACATTTACCAATCGATTTCTGCCATAATTTAGACCAATATTGCCGAAGAAAGTTTTCAAAAATATCCTTTCGTTCGGTCACAAAAAATTAATTAAGAACATTTAAACTGAGCATCGTGTAGGCCTCGGATGATTTAAACTGAGCATCGTGTAGGAGTTTATATTTATAGGATGATATTTACAAAAAATTAAAAATTAAAAATTGTTATGGATAACATAAGGAAATTGTGCTTAAATTGTCACTAGACTTTTTACTTTCTCGTATATACGTAGTATAGAGAAAGTATTGTAATCGTGCAAAAAAAAATCGAGATTTTTACAAATCTCGACGTTTTACACCTCACTGATACGGAAAAACATAATTTTGCAATCTTGTCCGTATGTCTGTGTGTGTGTGTGTGTGTCTGTGTGTCTGTCCGTGTGTAAACACGATAACTTGAGTACCGTTACTGCTAGGTTGATGAAATTTCATATATAAGTATTTAATCAAAATCGTAGATCCGTATCAACTTTTGAGCGATTTCCGATAACCGGAAGTGGTACTTTTCCTACTTTGAATTTTTCAAAAGCCTATAACTTGAGTACTATTTCAGATAGATAAATGAAATTTCACATGTAAGTAAAAGATCTAATTCTCTACCTTCTGTTAAATTTTGAGTAATTTCCGTTGACTGGAAGTAATAATTTACGCTACTTCCGATTTCTCAAAAAACTAATGTAAATTTTAAAAGTACTAATAATATTGCGCACTATTATGCGCTTTTTTATTTCGCGTTCACTTGGTGTGCAATTAATTTGTCTACGAGATTTTATTCTATTTTTAAAACTTTAAGTATTTAAAATGGATTAAAAATCATGTCTATAGCCCGAGTTCCCATCCCCTGTTATTTTATATAAGAATATTCGAGAAAGTTTAGGGGAGATCACTCCCGGTTTATTATTAACTTGTTTTTAAAATACCACTACCTTTCAGCTCCTGTTAGTTGTATAGTTTACATGCTTTTGGCTATAATTACAATCTTTGCTTAATGGAGGGGTAGACGAACATGCCCGTGGGTATTTTCTTTAGACTTTTAGAGTAAGATGAGAAATATTACAATACCCATGATGATACTATATTTTCAGAATTTATACCATTTTTAATTTCAAAATTCTCTTTTGGTTTTTTTGTGATTTAAAAAAGTGACTGAAAACTCAATCTATAGATCTAGTTCTCCGTGGTTTCCATGAGTATCTGTAGCTTTTCATTTCCGCTTATTGCGCTATTATTTTTTTCTCTCAATCGAAAACACATTAGTCCGTAGGGAAACGACTTGGACTTGCATACGCTGCTCGGTTACCAAGCCAAACAGAAAGACATTTGTCATGAAACGTTAACTCTGGGTTATAGTTTAATAGCTAACCCTAACGCGTTGTGCGATAACGCTAATCTGGAGAACTCCGGGTCGGATGTTAGGGACGGTGGTTGACACGAGATAGATTCGCCGGGTCTGCTAAATTTAAACCAACGTTTACGCGAGTATTTGCCCGTTAATGTGCCTTTTAATGTCGTTGTAATGCGTCAATCCTAAGCGATGCGATAACAAAGTAGAATGGTTGCACGTGTGGAATACCGGGGGTTTCAAGTATATAATTTTTATTTTATTTTTATTTTAAGAAGTTTTTTTTAAATAAAATATTTTATAAACGCGTAATTTTATTGTAATGTTTAAGTTGATTTTTTTGTAACGTCATTTCTAAATCAACATACTGAATTCCTTTTTTTTAATCAACAGGAATAGAATTATCGGCCTTTATTTAAAAAATATAGAAAACAAATCAAAGGTAAGTAACTCTATATATATATAATAGTTTTAACTCTTTACAGAACTAAATGCTTTTAAAATAAAATTTTCAAAAATTCGAAATAGAAGTAATTATCTTTATTGAGTTAACAAAAGTCAGAAACAATAACACAAATATGTATGTAATTTTAAACATGTATGTAATTTTAAACAACATTTAGCATATGTTAATGTCACAGCAAACATTAAAGAACAATTCATAAATGTATTATGCTAATAATTAGCTGGTAAGGTTGATTAATTTGCCAAACTAGTCAACTAAAATGATTTTTTTCTATTGAACTAAAAACGTGTTACTCCTACTGAACTAAGAATGTGTTTGCCCTATCACTTTACAGAGAATCAACCAGGAGTTCAAGCCCCTGACTAAAAATATTTATACCTGCAAAATCCATGGCAAGATGGAGGTAAGTTGATCAATTAGCCAATTAACCAATTGCCATCTAATGTTTTTCTCAATCAAATTTAAATTAATGAATTTACATATAATTTAAAGCCAGACCCTTAGATTAATTTTTTATCTCATTCCAATTCTTTGAGTTTAAATTTGCTATAAAACCTTTTATTTTATTTGATCTGCAAAAGTTTTATTGCAGAAAAACAATTTATAATATCATTAATTATTAAGGCATGAGAATGGTTTTACATAGTTGAACAGATTCTCTTTTTATATCAGTAGAATTGGAATGAAATATTTGTGTTAAAAATGTTTATTGTTAATGGCTGCTTGTATTGAGTATGTAGGCCTCTTCACAAAGTAAACAACAGTTACAGGTAGATTGATTGATTTTTTATTTCAGACGCCAGAATGCCAGAACCACATACGCTACATTGTCAGAAACACCTCAGTCCCCAACACGTTTTATATGTGTGGCACAGGTGCCTTCCATCCTACAGCCTATCATCTTAAGGTGAGTTAGCTGATCTCTGGGCAGTCTTCATTAGTTGTTTATGATAACCTTCTATAGTATTTGTAATACTGTGGGTTAGCTAACTAGAATATAGCCCTGACTAATACTTTATTTTTTTTGTTTTATTAATTGTTATTTATTACATTACCTTACTGATTTAGGTTTAACAATTGTAGTATTGATTTAGTTTTAATGCATTCAAAATTTAGTTTAAATGAATGTCTTATTGATTTAATTGTAATGATTGTGTGCTTGTGATTGTGTTTAGCTGGAGAATGACAAGTTTGTACAGCTGAATAACCAAGACTTGTCTGGTATTGGCTTCTGTCCTTATGACCCTATGGACAACACCACTGTCATTTTTGTTGGTGAGTACTTGTCTTCTGTCCTTATGACCCTATGGACAACACCACTGTCATTTTTGTTGGTCAGTACTTGTCTTCTGTCCTTATGACCCTATGGACAACACCACTGTCATTTTTGTTGGTCAGTACTTGTCTTCTGTCCTTATGACCCTATGGACAACACCACTGTCATTTTTGTTGGTGAGTACTTGTCTTCTGTCCTTATGACCCTATGGACAACACCACTGTCATTTTTGTTGGTGAGTACTTGTCTTCTGTCCTTATGACCCTATGGACAACACCACTGTCATTTTTGTTGGTGAGTACTTGTCTTCTGTCCTTATGACCCTATGGACAACACCACTGTCATTTTTGTTGGTGAGTACTTGTCTTCTGTCCTTATGACCCTATGGACAACACCACTGTCATTTTTGTTGGTGAGTACTTAAGTGTCTTCTGTCCTTATGATCCTATGGACAACACCACTGTCATTTTTGTTGGTGAGTACTTAAGTGTCTTCTGTCCTTATGATCCTATGGACAACACCACTGTCATTTTTGTTGGTGAGTACTTAAGTGTCTTCTGTCCTTATGATCCTATGGACAACACCACTGTCATTTTTGTTGGTGAGTACTTAAGTGTCTTCTGTCCTTATGACCCTATGGACAACACCACTGTCATTTTTGTTGGTCAGTACTTACACAAATCAGGTTGAAAAATTGGACATTCATTTCCTTGATTATAATTCGCATAGAAAAATTACATGTGTATCTGTATGTGGTACATAGTCTGCATTAAAAAAATGTTGAACAAATTTCTATGTAAACTATTAACATGTAAAAACAATTATGATTATATGTAAACGCATTGTGTTTGATTACAATTATGATTATGTTAGTCAAGTTTACACCTTTTCTCTGAATAGAAAAAGGGGTGCCTGGCAATGTACCCACTTTGTTTGCTGGAGCTGTGACAGATTTCATCAAGTCCGACCCTATCATCACACGACTGAGCATCTACAACCCAGATGGCACATTAGAGTCTAACTACGTGCGCACCTTGCGTTCTAGAGTGGACTGGTTGAATGGTCAGTTATTTTCTTTTAGTTAAGTGATGTGGTCATTGTTTTCTAGGCCATTTGATTATTTTTACTGTTTTGATTGAATATTGCGTAAGTAAAATTGAATTATCATTTGATTTACTTTTGGATCACAGAAAAAATTCTATGCATTATTAAGTATCAAGAAAAAAACAAAATTAATTGCTCTAGCATAAGCTGTTATTAATCACAAATCATGTTTAACTAGATTTAAAAATTGTTCTATATAGAAACCTTAATATAATGAGATTATATAAGGTCAAATAATTCTTTTAAGAATCTTTGTGTAGGTTATGTTTGAAGTATTTCACTTGAATATTTTACCTTTAACGCTCTCAGCCAATAACCCAATAACAATTCAGCCGTTTGTTTTTTATATTACAGAGCCTCAATTTGTTGGATCTTTTGAAGTGGGACCTTATTTATATTTCTTTTTCCGTGAAGTTGCCCTAGAATACACCAACTGTGGTAAAAAGATTTACTCCAGGGTAGCCAGAGTGTGCAAGGTATGTTCACTTTGTTACCCCAGCTCAACAAGGTATATTCTGGCTCTTGCTCTCTGGTAGTTACCCCAGTTCAACAAGGCATTCTAGCCCTCGTAGTTACCCCAGCACAAACTAGTTATATTCTGGCTCTTGCTTGTCTGAAAGAATATTCTATCGACTATCTCAGACCTGACGTATGAAGGGGTAGTGTTGTCAGGTACCCATTAGCGCTGGGTTGACTCAGTGATATCATTAGGAGTCCAGGCACCATACTCAAGAGTTAGCCGTCATTCTTGACCTAACTGTCCCATGCTCTGTCCAGTGAAGACAAATTAATTTTTTACATAGATTAATTAACACTTGTAATTATAAAATAAACTGTAATATTACCAAATGTATGAATGATTTGAATTTTATTTTAAAAATTTGAATCAACCTTTTAGCACTGTGTTAGCCACTTATAATGTAGTCATTGTATATTTTCTTTTCCCCACAGAATGACTATGGAGGGTACAGCCATTTACAAAACTTGTGGACATCTTTTATGAAAGCTCGTCTCAACTGTTCCCTACCTGGAGAATACCCGTATTATTTTGATGAAATTCGTGAGTACCGTCAAAATGTTTCAGTTTAGAAGCGAATTTTGACAAATCTTTTTTTCTTCTCAATACAAATGAGATTTTTTTTTTAAATATAATTATATAGGGTGTTTTTTTAAATATTTACGCAATAAAAATAAATTGTATATAAAAATTATTAGAACTAATTAATTTCATGATTGAGTTATTTACAACTTAATTAATGATTTACAATTAAATTTTACAGAGGATGTGTACAGAGTTGGGGACACATTCTACGGCTTGTTTACAACCAACGTGTGAGTACTTTTTCTACATTTAGTACAAATAAAAACTTACATTTTCAAACTAATGTTTACGTTCATTTTAAATTATATTCAAATTTAATATTTTAAAACAGAAACTCAATTTTTTTTTAATTTTTATAGTTGTTTTTTTTTAAACTGGTAACTGACTTGTTGAAATGTTTTTTCCATGTCTAGAAATGGCTACACAGCTTCAGCCATCTGTGGCTTTACCAACACTGAGATTGACAAGGCGTTTGATGGCACCTTCAAGGAGCAGTCAACAGCGCAGTCCATGTGGCTCCCCGTCTCACCGGGGGAGATCCCCACCCCCAGGCCTGGCAATGTAGGTCAACCAGTACCTGTCAGTTGTTACACCATCTGTTGGCACACACTTCAGACTAGCTCCACTTTAGTTTTTTTAAATAATATATTTATAACTTTTCTTTAATTATGTACAATCATTCTTCTTAAATGTATGTGATATTGTGTAGCATACACTCATTCTTCCCATATTTTTTGCCAAATGTATTTTGACCTGGAGTACACACTCTTCTTGTTAATAAATTTTGTCTTTGTTGTCAAGTTCTATTTATATGTTGTCATGTGTGCTAACCACTCCCACTATACGTCCGCAGTGCTCAGCTTTAAACAAACACACCCAGCTGCCGTACAACTTCATCAACTTTGTGTCACGTCTGAGTATGTTGATGGATAAAGCTGTGTCTCAGACCTTTGGGAGGCCAATATTTTACAAAGCTGACTGCCTGCTGTACAAGTTGGTGGTTGTCAATAATATTGCTGGACCCAGGGACTTGGTGTTTTTCACATCAACAAGTGAGTGCAAGCATTTGATGGCTCTTTAGTACCACAAGTTTAACATAAAGGTTGTTTAGCTCTTCACTGCCACAAGGTTAATACAGAGCTTAGTTGGCTCTTCCTTACCTCAAGTTTAATATAGGGCTTAGTTCTTCTCTATCATAAATTTTAGAGCTCAGGTCTTCATTTTCTCATGTTTAATAGAAAGTTTAGTTAGCTCTTCACTGTCACAAGTTTAACATAGAGTTAGTTAGATCTTCATTGCATAAATTTTAACACAGATTTTTATTCAGCTTTTCACTATCACAAAGACTAATACATGGGAAAATATCTTGTAATTAACATACAGAACTTTCCAAAAGTTACAAACTTCTTGGCACCACATGGTCATTCATGTAGTTCATTATTTTTAGCAATAAGGAATTTAGATCCCTGCTTCTTTATACACTTAGGGGCAGACATGTAACTTCTCCTATTGATAATAAATATCTGTACATGAACAAAATATTCACCCAAACAAGGCCACGCTCTGTACCCTTCCAGTATAATACTGGTTCAAACCCACATCAAATACTAACATCATTTGGAAAGAATCTGTTCATGTCGCACTGTAACTAATTTGATTTAAGTGTATTGTAAAAATTCATATGCCGAGGTCACAGAAACAAGTGAACTCTACTTCACTGTCAGGTTTGAAAAGGGAACTTTACTTTTTACTTTTATTGTAAAAATTGGGTATGGAGATACACATGCCATTGTTTATTAGGTACTGTAGTGATCTATAAAATTAGCAGTATTATATAATGGAAATACACATTCTTTATCACAACCAGGTACTGGAGTGATCTATAAAATAGCAGCCTGGGCAAGCCTTACAGAGCTGGATCCCCATAAAACCCACATTGTAACAAGCTATATCCCATTCAACAATGATGCATCTAGTCGCCTCATCTGGGATTTACTTCTTTATGTGAGTTCTTTTTTTCTTCAAATGGTTCATTATGTGAATACTTTCTCTTTGAAATAGCTTTTGTATTTGCTGCACAAAGATTTATGGCTATAATGCCAGACCTCAAAACTTAAACTGAAATACATTTTATGTAGCAGCTATACTAACACTTTATGCAAACACAAAATTATAATTCTGTACAATTTTTATATATTAAGCTAAAACCTCTAAAATAAAATATTTTTACTCCAAAAGTAAATAGATACAAGTAAACTAGACCCATTAATTATCCATCAGGAATAAAATAAGAATGGTATGATTAACATTATATTTATCTGGCCACAGAATCAATGGATTTACTTTGGCACTGATGTGGCTGTCGGCCAGCTTTCTGTGGAAACTTGTGACAAATACAAGAAAATTGACCTGTGTCTCTATGATCCCTACTGTGGATGGGACAGTCAATTAGGAGAATGTAGAGCAAAGTCTAACGAGAGAAGAAAGTAAGCATGGATGTACTTTTTGTTCAAGTTTCCCTGCTTCTTAGATAATTGTTCTAAACAATATCATATTTGGTAAAATGTCCCCCCCCCCCCCTTTCATTTAAAATTTTTAATTAAATGTAAATGTTTACAATTTGTTTTGATGCTTATTCTATTTGATGAAGTCACCCATCACCGCTAATTAAAAATTTTAATTATCTGTAATGGTTTCAAAATTTGTTTTAACAGTTTTCATCATATTTAAAGAATCGTCCCCTGGTTAAAAAATGTAATTAATAGTAAAGGTTTACGATCTGTTTTAATGGCTATCATACTGGTGAAATGCACCCTAATTAAAAGTTTTAATAAGCTATCAATATTTGTTTTCAGTTTGATACTGTTTAATGGCTATCATATTGGTGAAATGCACCCTAATTACAAGTTTGAATAAGCTATACATTTTTTTTTTTTTTCAGTTTGATACTATACTCCCATCTGGACATGCTGTCCTACTCATTGGAAGAGTCCATTAGAAAACTTGTTGGAGAGCTCTATAGTAAGTTGCTAGTTCTGACACAAATATATTTCTTCACATCATAGCTAATACATTCAAATGGCAGTATGTGAAAACATTGGCAATACATCAGTCCATATGTTAAAATGGTGACCTTTAAAAAATCCTCGTTAATTAATTTCTGGCAGACCAATCAGCTGACAAACAAAAGTTGCAACTTCTATAATTTCTATCCATCTTACATGGCATGGTATCCATTTTTATTTCACAACCAGTGCTCAAATAGTACAATCAGGAAACAAAGCTTTATGTTTTGTCAGCCTTTAGTCAGTTGTCATTTTGACAGTTCTGAGCATTTTTGTTTCAGTCAGACTTTTGTTCTTGTTAGTCTTTTGTCAGCTTCCTGTCAATGTCTATCTTTTCTCTGTGTCATCTTTGTTGTTTATGTCAACCTTTTGTCCATGTCAATGTCTATCTTTTCTCTATGTCAGCTTCCTGTCAATGTCTATCTTTTCTCTATGTCAGTTTCCTGTCAATGTCTATCTTTTCTCTGTGTCATCTTTGTTGTTTATGTCAACCTTTTGTCCATGTCAATGTCTATCTTTTCTCTATGTCAGCTTCCTGTCAATGTCTATCTTTTCTCTATGTCAGTTTCCTGTCAATGTCTATCTTTTCTCAGTGTCAGTATTGTTGTCTTATTCAACCTTTTATAAATGACAGTTTTATTGTCCATGTTAGCTATTTTTTATAGTTTTATCTTATTCAGTTTTAAAGTTCTCATGAAGCTAATGATGGACTTTTTAAATTAGTTTTCTAAAAATCAGAATTTTAAAAAATGTCACTGACAAAGTATAAAAAGGATTCTAAATGTTAATATTTCAACACACTCTAATATTTATGTTCACAGCGGCTGAAAAAGTGTTTAAAATATCTGGGAGCTCTGCAACATTAAGAGTGGATTTCAAACTCCACATCAGTGGCAGTGTCAAGTGGACCAAGAATGGCACAGGAGTTAGTGGAGACAGGCACATCCTAGCGCAGGATAACTCGCTGATCATCACAGATTTGAGGAAGTCTGACGAGGGGACGTATGTGGCGTCTGACAGTCTCCGCAGAACTGTGGCCGAGTACACGCTAGCTATAGAAACAAGTAGGAGGTTCTTTTCATTTCATTGATACAACAATATTTGAATGACCAATACACTTGCTAGGAAGTTCTTTTCATTTCATTGATACAGCAATAATTGAATGACTAATACACTTGCTTCAATAGAATCACAATGCAAGTTTACTGACCAGGCTCAAATCAGTTTCTGAACTTGATTTGCTGGTTGGAGACTAAAGATGTCCCTGAGTCTAACCCAACTCTGATGTGTTTTAGCCCTAGTTAACTTAAACTCATCTCCTCCACAAGCCGAGGTCATAGGTGAACTCTACTTCATCTGCTATATTGATGGTCTGGTCAGAAAAGGGTGGCACATTTTTACATGTCTGATCAGCAAGAAAGGTTTTCCTTGTAAACTGTAAAGACAAACTGTTAATACTTTACATACAATATGCCAGCATATAAACAGGCCAGCATGTTTCTGTAACACATTTGATCTGTTTTAGGTAAAGAGCAGATAGAACAGAGATGGATGCGCAAGTTTGACCAGTGGTGTGATGAATTTGAGAGGTACCAGGAGGACGTAAGGCAATGGGTAGGTTATCACTCATATATGTATATAAAGAGAGAGAGAGAGAGATGGAGAGACTATATAATTTTTGCTTTTTGACTTTGTGTTCATTATCTCCCTTGCTATGCTCTAACTATTGCTTGTAACTTGATGTAAGATATGGCAACTCCTAATTATACTTTAATGCTGCTTTTTAATTAGGGATGAATAAATTTATCTGGCCATTATCATTATTGGTTATATCTGTGCCATTTTTTAATAGCCTGTTAGGTTCTATGATATGCTTAAAAGTTTTGGCAAAAACTATGGATAAGTTTATTGCTGGTTATTCCCCTTTGATACATTTTGATCCTTTGTCATAACTTGTCTTCTTTAAGTAATGGATGTCTAGTAATCCAAAGTATTCTTTTCACTCCAAATAGTCCTTAAATTGTACTCATTCACATTTCATTTAAAAAAAATATTTGCGCATACTAAGCAATTTTTTTTTCCTTCTTTAGGAGCGCAAGTGTAACTCTTGTTGCGCTGAAACAGCATTGACCAATCGGTTGCCTGCGATAGGTGGTGGAAAATAAAAAAAAACTTTCCCTCTCAACATTTCTCTCCAAGGGCGAGCATCTTCATGTTTAACTTGTTGCCTTATAAACTTTGCCATAGTGTGACTGTCTCCAGAGTCTGGCCACAAAGTGGACAATCAGACCAAAAAAAAAAAAATCTGGAAACTTGGTCAAGAAATCACACCAAGCAAGCAAAGATTGACCGACTTTTTGGGAGATGGATCGCCCGGCATCACTGTGTGGACTGAGGAATCTGTGTAAAGAGATGGTACCGTGAGGAGGGTGGTCGGCCACCTCTCTATCTGTGATAGTCTCTGCTCATCATTCCTTTTCATTTCCTCAAACCTGAGATGTCGCCAGATAAAATTTTTTAAATGAGAGACAAAAAAGAAAAGCCAAGATTTCCTCGACGTGTTTTCTGGGAGTTGCTGTGTACACTCACTGGCAATCCCAAACAAACTATGCTTCAATTTATATTTATCAATTGGAATTGTTCATTTTTATGCAACATTTTTTCATAATATGAGCTCTTCACTGGAGGAAATCTGATAGTTGCTATGGTTACTGTGTTAACAATTTTATGTGTGTATAGAAAACCTTGATGCTGTATGTGAAATGTATGTAAATATACTGTATTAAAAATACATTTTATTGAAAGCTTTGTATATGGGCAATACAAATAATTTACTTTTCAATGCTTCTTGAATGTATAAATATAAAGTGATTGATTAATTCATGAACTGGGCAAAACATTAGTTGAAAAAGGATTAAATGGCTGGCAGTACAATTTTTACTGCTATTAAACATGAAGGTGATGTTTCAATTGTTTGCAAAAACATATACATAAGACTGAGCTATATTTTATATTGTTTAGCTAAACAAAAAGTTTTGGTTTTAAATGGAGAGCAGAGAGAATGCCCTGGCAAATTTAGTACATTCCTCTCATACCCTGGGTAGCCACAATATTTTTGAATCTACCATGTTTGTTAGCAGGAAAAACAGAAGTACAAAGGGGCTGTACTAGGTTGGACTTGAGGTACAAATACATTGAAACATTTCTCATGTAAGCTAGCTAAGAAATGGCCCTAAACTTCTACATCCAACTATGCAATATTAGAAACAGAATAGTCAATCGCATTTATCTTAAATACAAATAGGATCAAATATAAAAATTTACTCATGTTTCTGATTAAGGTCTTCATCAGATTAGATATCATTAACAATATAATTTTGTTGAATGTCTTCACAACTTCTAAAAATAAAATATGATAATATTAATAGTCAATATCAGTAATAATAGAAAAACATCTCACATCATATAGTTTAATCAAAAGTTTAAAATATCCATCTCAGAAGCTCTGAGCTCATCCTTGTTTAAATATTTTGTTTCTATCAACAACCAAAATATAAATATCAATGACCAAAAAATGTTTATCTCTTCTACTCTGACACCATTGACATTGAATGTAAATCTGTACTGTAAACTAACACTGACTTCGTTAGTCAACCAATGCTTGGTATTTCAACACAAAGCTCTGCATGTAGAATCCTTGTTAATTCATGTATGGCCAGATTTGTTTTGTTGTTGCCTTTCACCAATCTAAGTTTTGCATTCTGGCTTTAAATCAAGTATCAACATAAAATTTGACCCTTATAATTTTTCTTCTATTTTTTCAAAGATCTAATTCTGGAACCATTTTTTCGTATAAAGAGGTTGCTTAGCTTGCTTTAACTTTAAAAAATCTTGAAACTTAAGATGCATATAAAGAATAAAAAGTTGTGTTTAATCTAAAGCTGCCTTGGAATATTAAGTTAGTGCTTAAGACTGCATGCAGAAGTAACAGAGGCAGCAGATGCAATGTCCTATCATATGCTACGCAATATATCGAGATAATGAATTTTTTTTAAATTGCAATCTTCATTTATCTTTATGCATGTTTATATCATAAATCAATTTTATAAAAATGTTGTCCTCTGTATTTTGCTTCTGAAATTGTTTTATCAGTTTTGAGTTAAAATACTCATGAACTACAATTTTCTCAAAACAGCTTTTCCAAAACTTCAATAGTAAAAACATTGCAAATGTCATTTTTAATTTCCTTGTTTTTTTGTTTGATGTTTTAGCCAGCTTTGCACATAGTAGAGTTGTGTTGTTACTTTTATTGAACACATATGAAGGAGAACATTTCAAAGTCTATGATTGTTCAAATGTACCTTTCATTTTTGTTGTCAGCTATCCTTGTAAGTGCTTGGGTTTTATTATAGTGCTGGTATCTCTGGGTTGTATCATAGTGCTGGTATCTCTGGGTTGTATCATAGTGCTGGTATCTCTGGGTTGTATCATAGTGCTGGTATCTCTGAGATAAAGTGCTGGGTTGTATCATAGTGCTACTATCTCTGAGATAAAGTGCTGGGTTGTATCATAGTGCTACTATCTCTGAGATAAAGTGCTGGGTTGTATCATAGTGCTGGTATCTCTGAGGTAAAGTACTTGGGTTGTATCATAGTGCTGGTATCTGTGAGGTAAAGGGCTGGGTTGTATCATAGTGCTGGTATCTGTGAGGTAAAGGGCTGGGTTGTATCATAGTACTGGTATCTGTGAGGTAAAGTGCTGGGTTGTATCATAGTGCTGGTATCTCTGAGGTAAAGTACTTAGGTTGTATCATAGTGCTGGTATCTCTAAGGTATTGGGTTGTATCATAGTGCTGTGCCATTTAGTTTCTCAAACAGCTTTTGGCTGTAGATGATTGCCTGTAAATTCTCTGGCTGTTTGCTGTCTGACTGCAGTATGTATAAACCTTGTCGTGAAGGGCTGATGAGGATTTTTGTAAATAAAGAACCCTACTGTGTTGACTGTGCACCTATGTTTATGTGGTATATGTGCATTGTTGGAGGGTTTGTATTTAAACATGTTTGACATAATGAACTTGTGTTGTAGGATATGATTTTCTTCTATTTGCTAAATTAAATGTTCAGAGTGATTGTATGAAAACGTCATGAACAATTTTCTCAATGTAAGGCTACATCTAATTAAAATTACCTCACTGTCTCAGACACTGAAGAGGTGGAGGTGATTTAAATGTAGCAGTATTACAATTGTAAATATTGATAGATCACATTGTTTTGTCTACTAGTTGAGACCACATTCAGTCCAAAACAATGAGAAAATTATCATCTTTTATTTGTATCATTTAATGATACCAAAATTTATATTGCATTGTCAGTTGCTTAGTTTTCTATAATTGTTGAAGATCTTTCTGATATTGTAAAATAAAAATCTATAACCATGTTACTTGGATAACTAGGCTGTGTGCTTGCTGTCTGAAGTCTGAGTGTTGATCAAAAACATTACAACAATCATAAATACTGTAAACATTTTGTACATGTTTGAGATTGATGTTTCATAGTTTCTCTTATCAACTTCACAGCTCCATACAAATTTGATTATGTTGTGGTTAATTGCTAGAAATGATCTAATTTTAATTTATTGACTGTATTTATTTCATTGTTACAAATATACTAGTTTCTCTATCTGCACTGTATGGGAAGCTGCATTTCTTTTAAAAGTTATTGCAAAAAAAGAATTGCTTTAACTTTTTATTTATTCTACAATTCTTTTAGTAAAAAAAAATCTTTCAGGAGATGAGCATTGATGGATCATATCTCATATCAAAAGTTTTTGACTGCTTCTTTTGATAGTCCATGCAAGTTACTAAACTTAAAACTGGCCGACTTGAATTTCAATTGTTTTGTTTTGGTTAATTTTTAGTTGGTTTAAATGTAGATATATATTTTTTCAACTTGAATTTTTTATAGATTGATTGTGAAAGTAATTTACCAAATGTTTTGTTTACTGAATAAATTACTGGCAAATGAACTTTGCTGTAAAACAGGTGTATGATTGTTATTATTTTATATATAAATAAAATGATGAAACATTTTAACGGTGTTTGACTTCTAAATATATCTGGCTAAATTATTAAATAATGCTGTATTTAAAAAAAAAACAACTAAGAAAATGCTTTTACATTAATAAAAATCTGATGATCAGAAATGTAATATTTTATACTAACAACTTTGTTAAATTTTACTTGACACTATTCTTTATTATAGATCATTGCATTCAATTCACAATTTAATTAAACTCATTGTTTTCTGTTTCTTTGCATTTCAAAGCTCATAAATAAACAGAAATCATATTTGATGAAACACCTAATTTAATCAAGCAATAAAGTGCAATATTTTATAACTTGAATAGTACAAATGACCAATAATATATTTGAACACAGATAAGGATGTTTTAAAAGAATTATTGTTACTGCTGTAGAAGAGTCCTCAGTTCTTGCACACAAGGTAAAATATTTACAAAATAGAAGCTGACATATTGTCTTAATTCACACACCGGCCAAATATGTACAAAATATTAATGCAACAGCAAGTTTTAAAAATAAACAGTCATACACTTTTAGAAAATACATTACTTACTGAATTTCAAGAACCATTTAAACATCTGATAAAGCAAGTAGCTAGACTTGATCCCTTAGGGTTAGAACCAGGTTAAATTACCATTAGTGCAAAATGACTGACAAGAATGGCAAGTCAACAAATTAACACAAAACTTCCCATTGAGGATTCTGCAAAACTTGCATAGCTCACACATTTTGAACATTAGCTTCAGATCTGTTTACATTCTTTGCTTGTGAAAAGCTTTCCCAACTTTAGCTAACTCCTCTTCATACATCTTCTGATCGGCTTCAAGTTTCAGTGCTAGCGCTCGCTGACGTACCTGAAAATGTACCACATAATATTAATAAAGCCTGATTTAAATGTGTTTAAATTTTGTTTATTAAACTTATAGTATTAAAAAATTGTCTCTGTTTAACTAATGACATCCATTTTGCTGGAAAAATATTTTGGAAATGTAGTTGAAGATTATGGTGTTAGGGATCAGATAAGGAAAGCTGGCCAGTATACACTGTTCTGTTCAGTTACTGAGGCCACACAAATTAGGTAGAATCTATTTCATCATTTTATGTATGATAACTGTTTTAGTCACCAGTCTCAAAACTTGTTCATCCAGTTGTTATGAAATTAAAAAAAATAAAAATAAATAAACCTTACCAATATACTTGCCCTTCCTGCTAACTTCATTTCAATGATCAAATTTTTCTGGTCCTTTGCTCTCTGTTTAGCTTGCATTTTGTTGTTGCTTTCATCCACCCATTTCTCCAAAATTTGTTTGCGATCTATTCTGTACACAGAAAAGATTGGTATGAGTATTAAATGATGACCACAGTAAGTAAAAATCAGTCTAGTCTGTATTTGTCAATCTATCCTTAGAATGTAAAAATATGTAATCTGGATTTGTTTATAAGAGATACTCACTCCTTTTGCACAACACCCTGATCAATAACTTCATCTTGACACTGCCAATGGAAAAAACAAATAATATAAACACTGTTACACAAAATAAATTTTTTATTCTAATTATCATCTATATATATAATTCTCGGAGACGTTAGAAAACAAGCTGTAAGCGCGCTCCCTACCACCCCCACCCCTACATGGTCTGGGGAGCTGTGGTTCACGCTTAATGTTTACAATCGTAGAGCCGGGTTTAGTGACGGCTATTAGGGGCAGATAATTTAGTTTGAAAGGATTTTAAACTTAGGGGAAGTAACTAAAAGGAGGCTGCTTTCAGGAGTAAGGGGCTATCGTCCTTAACGAGCTACTGATAGTGTTTTAAAGCAAATATTTTCAGTGGCAGCATTGGTACTGTCAAATTCACAAATTATGAATTACTAAAAAGTAAAAAAATAAAATAACTAAATAGCAGCGTATGATACACCGCGGGTCGGCTCGTATTGTTATATTGTATCTGCACATACATACATTTAAGGGTCTATTGTCAATCACTGTAGGCAGTGATCTCCAACAGTAATATCATACATGATTGTAAGCAGACCAGAAATTACCTCTGAGGGGGTCATCTTTAAATGACGTCACACTTTTTTTGACAATTATTACCCCCCCCCCCCCTCCATCACACATTGTCACAAAAACCAGAGCCCCCCCCTAAAATGACATCACACCTCAGTCTAAACCCCCCCCCCCTTTTAAATTGCAGTTGAATTTTTCTTAAAACATCGATATTTTTTCAAACTCTTGTCTGTCATCAGAGAGTATTTTAATCAATTCGTATTACAATTTATTAAAACAGTTTCCTAAAACGCGAAATAAGGGTTAAAACTTGTTTTCCAACTTTGCTGTTTTATAATGCAAAAGTGTGGCGTCACACCATCTGAACCACCCCCCTCCCTCTCATCACACATCATCACAAAATTACGGACCTCCCTTCCCACCTTCGAGTGAGTAGTAATTTATGGACGACCCCTGAACCCAATATTTTAAAGAAAGTCTATGAAAAGTAGCCTGATCAAGTGGCTGTGGACTCAGTTACCAAACGTTTTTAGTGTGGATTTGAATCCTTACCAGAAATAGTTTAGATTTGTAAAATTCTGTATTTATTAAGCCTACATCTACATACAGTCCCAAGATCCAATTTGGCCTTAAATTATTAATAATAATATTAGTGCTTTGTTAACAATTGGTTTACTCTGTATCTGCAATACAGTGTCTACATGTAATTAATACTAAAAGGTAAAATTAGGAAATAGTATTTTAAATAGGCCTACTAATTTATTAATTTATGATATACTAGCTGAGGTATGGATCCTCATACACTCCACCCTCCAATGATGAACTACATAGATCCTAGAGCCTAGAATGGCCTTAGTAAGTAAGTAAACTAGTCTAGTAGTCAGAACTAGACTAGAGTTAATTATAATTAAATAATTAACAATTAACTAATTACTAGACTTAGGCCTATTAAGATTTAGAGACATTGTACTTAGATTCTAGTTTATATATTATATAATTGATTAGGCCTACATTTCTTTATTTTAGACTTAATAATAATAATAATATTAAATATTAAATATTAGACCTAATAACTAAAAAACTAACTATTACATCTAGATCAGAGATCTAGAATCTAACTACATCTAGAATTAGATTAGTAGATTAAGATCTAGATCTAACTAGTTTTAAGTTAAGTAAAGTTTAGTTAGTTTAGTTAGAAGTAGATCTAGAATCTAGTAGTAGTAGTAGCATAAAGCTAAAAAAGGCCGCTAAAAAACAGCTAACCTAAGCCAAAGGGCGGGGCAAAGACCAAGGCCAAGACTACTGACCTGTATATTTCGCATATATTGCTGTTTTAGTTTCGTTGACTTCGGCGGTAGCTCATATCTCAAATTCGTTTCCTTGCTCATACTGAGAGTTAAATTATCAGGTTTTCACACGAGAAATTACTTTAATACAAATTTGAAATCCTTCACATGAAGAAAAATCGGATGTTGACAAATCAGAGTTGCTAGGTAAATAATAACTATGTAAATAAAAAACTTGAGCTTTTGTTAATTCAGGAAACGAAAAAAAAGAAAAGTTAGATTCCAGATCTATGTAGATTAGACTAGTCAGGGCCAAATAAATCTAGAATCTAGATCTAGATCTCAAGATCTAGATGGTAGATATATATCTACATTTTAGATGAAAATAACTTGAAAACTAGTAGATCTAGATCTAGATCTGTAACTACAGTCATGTTAGAGTAATAAGGGTTAGGTATTTTGCTTTTCCTGTTCGCGTATTTTGAATAATGGACACCAGCGAGTTGACGAGATTCCTTCCGTAATATTGTTGACATGGAATAAAAATGTGCTTTTTTAGATTTAGGACCATAAAACTAATAAAAGATAAAATTTTATTAAAAACTTAAGCCTAAAATTAATTCAGAAATGTAATATTTTTAGAATCAATGCTATACAAGTTGCAGATCCAGAGAACTTGAAAATAATTTGTTGAGTTTAAGGCTACATTTCTATTTATTTTCATCAAGCCTAAGTTATAACCCGATGTTTCACTTTCGTAAGACAAACATTGATTGGCTGTAAAGGAACTCCGTGATCGATTTCTGACAGCCCCATTTTATAGTTATTTTGTTTACAAAACTTTGCAGATCAAATTTTTAAATAACTATGCAAATTTAAACACCATGACCTATTGTTTCTATTTTTAGCTTACAATGTGTACAATAAAACTTATGTCGGCCATTGTTTATGTCGCCATTACACGTGAAAACCAAATTGTTTTTTCTTTTTTTTTAATTTTTATTTAGTTACCGAAAATATTAAAAACATCAAATACATCCAATCTTTAGTAAAGTCCGAAAAAAAACAGACGGACAGGATTTTATAACCATATTAATTGTAACTACGCCGTGCAAGATTTTAAAATGAATTTATACACCTCTCAAATACCTTTGAGACTTTTCTCGCTGGTGTCCATTTTGGTTGTGTTGGGATTTGCATATTATTGACTTGAGCATATTTTAAAATATTTTACGATAATACTAGATTCTATTATCTGTATAGACCAGGGGTCGGCAACCTTTTGAGACGGAAGAGCCAAAAGATGCAATTTACAAAATTTACCAGTTTTTAAAGAGCCAAAGAGCCGCAGGTTGCCGACCCCTGCTATAGATAAGTAACTAAACTACATAACCTTATTTATTAATTTGTTTTGTCCCATTTGTAAGGGGTTCAGAAAAAGTCATGTGAATGATAAAGTTGTCTGATGAAGACAAATTTTAACAATACTTAAATAATAATTAATAAAATAAAGTTAAGGTTTCTCCTTTTTACATGTAAATAAGATACTAATTTTATTTTCTATAAATTTAAAATTAATTCACATTTTTATAATTGATATATTTATTTATACCTTTTAATATGAAAAATGTTAATAAATATAGTGTATTTTAATTTGTTTTTTGATTCCCATTTATTTAATTTAATTCGTATATAGTTATTGCCCTTGCATGTGAATTTTTTTTTTTTTTTAAACTACATGAGGGTGAACAAAAATACGGCGCATTAAAAAAAACAACTATTAATAGCATGCCTTACAGTATAGATCTACCTGTGTAGCTCCTTTAACAATTCAACCACTATGAGGATATCAGTGATGTGTTAGTTACGTTTAGAGTATGACACTAGTAGTTATAGAAATTTGAAAATTGTTTTGTTATAATTATCATGATCACAAAATAGTTGAATGCATTTGTAAACAATGTCGACTGATGTACATGAGTAAGCTCCTATATTTTTAGCTAGTATTGTGTTAGTCAGACCTAGAAAATTCTCTAAGCGCCGAAGATGTTACTTAATTTAATTGTGTCCGTACAGTCAAAGGGAAACAACAGCGGATATACTATGAAATTCAAGAAAGTAGTGTTTCTCTCCCCTACTAATACAAGCCAGAATAATGCAGCTCCTAAAATAATATCCATCCAATCGCAAAGTTCTTTGATTCTCTTAAATATTTTCTTAGCAAAGTTTGTCTAAATACGTCAACTCACTGCAGTCATCAACGACATCAAATTACGTACCAACCATACTGATGACTTCATAACACCTTCCTTGTTTTGTGAATTAGATGCACCTAATACTATGCAAGTAAATTAATGTGCTGACTAGTGCTGTCTAGTATAGACAAACGTTGTATCGGGTGGAGTTTGAGTCAAACAGTGTTTCTTCCAACACTGTTAAATTTTTATATTTTCTATTTAAATTCCATTTCGTTCGGGGGGGGGGGGGGGGGGGGCTCTTGAAATTTTCAAGGGGACACTGGTAAAAGTATATATATTCTATATAAATTCCATTTCGTGTTCGGGGGGGGGGGGGAATTCCTTCCAGGGGGGGGGGGGAGCCCCACCCAAACACAATATCAATTTTTGAATGACAGGAGATGAGTTCAACACACTACCGTGTGACTATTTGTTTCAGAGGAAACAGTAGTGGATGGGGAGCAGGGTTTCTTGCCGATATTTCTCTCCGGGTTGGGGGGGGGGGGGAGGAAAGCACTCGAAACTTCTAGGGATGGGCGGACAATAGTAAAAAAATATATATTTCCATTATACATTCGATATTTGTTCTATATCGTCGGTGGGGGGAGGAGCCGGGGTGGAGGAGGTGACTGAAAGAAATACTGGGGGGGGGGGGGGGAGAGATGAAGGAGGCCAGAATGTGCTGAACTGTTTTGGTTTTTTTAAACAATACAACACACATTGACGTCACTGTCCTGTAAAATAAAAACAAGACTGAGTACAGCTCACAAATCAGTGTCAATCACAAGTTATCTTTCTTGGGAGACTAACTTCATTTGTTCTCGAACTGTTTGATGGTGTGTGTCAAACTAAAGGCCCAGAGGTTATATTTCGGTACGTTTTGAATTGAGCTGGAAGTCAGATATTTTCATAACAGTTGTTTTTATCTAAGATCGTAGTAAGTTGGTCATAAGCTTAGAGATTTCTATTTTACATTGGGTAAGCTATTTATTCTATAACGATTTACCAGAACAGCCTTCTTAACACGCGAAATAACAGCTATAATTCAATTTCTAACATTACTTTTTAAAATGAAAAATATCACTCTTTGTACGTAGTGTGTTAGGTTGCAAAGTATTTTTACTAATTTGTTTCTGCGATTTAATTTTTTTTAATTTTTGTGCAATAAAAACTAAAAAGCGATAATTATATTCTATCAATACTTTCAACAGCTGACAGTCTGATCATATCGCCCTAAATCGGTCTGTTCAAGTCGTCGCCCTCGGCCGGCAGCCGGTCTGTGTTCAAGTCGTCGCCCTCGGCCGGCAGCCGGTCTGTGTTCAAGTCGTCGCCCTCGGCCGGCTGCCGGTCTGTGTTCAAGTCGTCGCCCTCGGCCGGCAGCCGGTCTGTGTTCAAGTCGTCGCCTTCGGCCGGCAGCCGGTCTGTGTTCAAGTCGTCGCCCTCGGCCGGCAGCCGGTCTGTGTTCAAGTCGTCGCCCTCGGCCGGCAGCCGGTCTGTGTTCAAGTCGTCGCCCTCGGCCGGCAGCCGGTCTGTGTTCAAGTCGTCGCCCTCGGCCGGCAGCCGGTCTGTGTTCAAGTCGTCGCCAGCCGGCAGCCGGCCTGTGTTCAAGTCGTCGCCAGCCGGCAGCCGGCCTGTGTTCAAGTCGTCGCCAGCCGGCAACCGGCCTGTGTTCAAGTCGTCGCCAGCCGGCAGCCGGTCTGTGTTCAAGTCGTCGCCAGCCGGCAGCCGGTCTGTGTTCAAGTCGTCGCCAGCCGGCAGCCGGTCTGTGTTCAAGTCGTCGCCAGCCGGCAGCCGGTCTGTGTTCAAGTCGTCGCCAGCCGGCAGCCGGTCTGTGTTCAAGTCGTCGCCGGCCGGCAGCCGGTCTGTGTTCAAGTCGTCGCCTTCGGCCGGCAGCCGGTCTGTGTTCAAGTCGTCGCCCTCGGCCGGCAGCCGGTCTGTGTTCAAGTCGTCGCCCTCGGCCGGCAGCCGGTCTGTGTTCAAGTCGTCGCCCTCGGCCGGCAGCCGGTCTGTGTTCAAGTCGTCGCCCTCGGCCGGCAGCCGGTCTGTGTTCAAGTCGTCGCCCTCGGCCGGCAGCCGGTCTGTGTTCAAGTCGTCGCCCTCGGCCGGCAGCCGGTCTGTGTTCAAGTCGTCGCCAGCCGGCAGCCGGCCTGTGTTCAAGTCGTCGCCAGCCGGCAGCCGGCCTGTGTTCAAGTCGTCGCCAGCCGGCAACCGGCCTGTGTTCAAGTCGTCGCCAGCCGGCAGCCGGTCTGTGTTCAAGTCGTCGCCAGCCGGCAGCCGGTCTGTGTTCAAGTCGTCGCCGGCCGGCAGCCGGTCTGTGTTCAAGTCGTCGCCGGCCGGCAGCCGGTCTGTGTTCAAGTCGTCGCCGGCCGGCAGCCGGTCTGTGTTCAAGTCGTCGCCGGCCGGCAGCCGGTCTGTGTTCAAGTCGTCGCCGGCCGGCAGCCGGTCTGTGTTCAAGTCGTCGCCGGCCGGCAGCCGGTCTGTGTTCAAGTCGTCGCCGGCCGGCAGCCGGTCTGTGTTCAAGTCGTCGCCGGCCGGCAGCCGGTCTGTGTTCAAGTCGTCGCCGGCCGGCAGCCGGTCTGTGTTCAAGTCGTCGCCGGCCGGCAGCCGGTCTGTGTTCAAGTCGTCGCCGGCCGGCAGCCGGTCTGTGTTCAAGTCGTCGCCGGCCGGCAGCCGGTCTGTGTTCAAGTCGTCGCCGGCCGGCAGCCGGTCTGTGTTCAAGTCGTCGCCGGCCGGCAGCCGGTCTGTGTTCAAGTCGTCGCCGGCCGGCAGCCGGTCTGTGTTCAAGTCGTCGCCGGCCGGCAGCCGGTCTGTGTTCAAGTCGTCGCCGGCCGGCAGCCGGTCTGTGTTCAAGTCGTCGCCGGCCGGCAGCCGGTCTGTGTTCAAGTCGTCGCCGGCCGGCAGCCGGTCTGTGTTCAAGTCGTCGCCGGCCGGCAGCCGGTCTGTGTTCAAGTCGTCGCCGGCCGGCAGCCGGTCTGTGTTCAAGTCGTCGCCG